GAATAAATGCGCCCGTCAAAGTGCGTCCATTAAAGGTAGTAGTTTCTGCCAACTTGACAGATCAGGTCGTTATGTCAGTGCTCTGACAGCATTATGAAAGGATTACAGAGACATGACCTTTAGTTAACCACAAACAGCCGTAATATCACTATCACTCTTCCACCAGACCTCCAGAGACAAAAAAACATTCCATTTTACCTTCAGATCATTGTAACAGTTCGTTTAAGAAAAAGAATAAAGTCATTAAAACCCGGTCTCTGTTAAGTGTTTCCCAAAAAAAAAAACCCCCAATTCACCCAAAAACTCTGTCTTGGTGAAATAAATCCCTTAAATTTCACCGACTAGGATGATAAAAAACACGGGCAGTTTCAGTCGTACAGACCGCGTATGGAAACAAACCACAGAGAGGCTGCGATACAACACAGGCAGAGGGAGAAAGACACCATGTGACTCTGTGTCTTTATATAGAGAATAGCTGTTTACTGATAAATTAATGTTCTAAATCTAATAAATACGTGCACTAACCTTTTAGTTTTGGGTGGAAACGTGATGGTTGATGAACATATGATGATGTGATGGTGAACATAATATTACCAGTTGTTAGACACAACAAGACATATCAACTTGGTCTCTGTCAGCCTTTTTTACTATTTTCTGACAGTATAGAAATGGTTCAATAGATAAAAAACTGTCTGCAGAATAAATCCACGATGGAAATAACTGCTAGTTGAGTTGAGATACTTTGACACACATTACAAGGGCACTGGAGGTTGGACTTTCTGTGTGTATCAAAAAACTGAAATATTGTGTTGAAATGACATTTTCTGCAAGCGTGCATTATTTATGAGCAAGTTTCTCTCTGAGCAGGACTTCAAACCAGTGAACGGGGAGCTGTCAGAAAGCACACACTAAAGTCAGTCAGTCAAGATACAAAAACATTGATTTATGTATTATTTTAAGATATAATCCTGTGTAGGGCTCAAACTAAATGACTGACCCAAAAGATATTCAGTTTACTACAAAATAAACACAGAAAACATCTGAAAATCTTCATATTTTAGAGTATTTCTTCATAACTTCTTGCTTGAAAACTGACATTTAATCAAAATATAGTTACAGGATAATATTCCATCTGTCAACTAATAATAATTATAGTCTCAGCTCTATTTCAGAACACACACGAATACAGTGATCATGTTTAATTTACAGTAATATGTACATATAAGATGATGTGGGGCTTTCACACAGTATCTCATTCATGTTTGTTTGAACTGTGAATTATTTATATTATACATATAGGCTGCAGTTAAATCTCTTTACATGTAAACAGACTGTATTATAGTTGTATTTCTTACAGTTCTCTGCTGTATTGTGTGTATAAACAGTAAAACAATGGCTCTGACAGCCTTAAACTGTTTTATAATGATATTTTGAGTGATTATCTCTAAGGATTTGTATATTTTTATAAGCGCCTGTGTCATTTTTTGTTGTATTTTGGGTTCATGGAGGATTTGCTAAACTGACACAATGAGAAGTGAGACTGAGAACAATAGCACCGTGCATGTGGAGTAAAGACTGCTTTTAAATGTGCAACAAAGACAGAAATGAATGCATACATAGTCCAAAATGCAGCTGCACAGCGGAGGGATAATTAAAGGAAAAACCCTCCAACAACAACCTCCATCTTTTTAAACTTTGACCTGGTCGAACTGGGCTCTCCCAGCACCGGGACGCACCTGCTGTTTCTCCATCGGCTCCTTGCTGATGGCGGAGACCTTTGGCGCCGGTGCCCGCTCGCACGTGCATCCCTCCAGCAGGTATATCCCGGAGGGCCTCGTGCTCTGGTCGTTCTCGAAGTAGAAGAGCACGTTCTGGTAGAGGGCGAAGTACTTCTCGGTCCAGCGGCTGTTCTCCGTGGTCTTCTTGCTGAGGAAGCCGCGCTTGGTGCCCTCTTTACGCGCCACCACCGACAGATACAGAGCGTGGCCCTCATTGTACCGCACGCCCTTCTGCATCTTATGTTCACCCGGGGTTTTTGGTTTTTTGTGGTTTCTATTTTGGTGCCAACTTCAAACAGTAACCCGGAGCATCACATCACATCACCACCGGGCGCTCACTCGTTATTTCTAGCGGAGGCGCATCGGAGAGAAAGCGGAGTCCGTTAGCAGGGAGCGGTAATCCCGGTTTACCATGGCACAAAAAGTTGGAGAGTCCCGCCGCGCAGTGCGCATCACACTCGGTGCTCCACTGGACACTTCACGGCGTTTCCATGCTCCAAACTTTACCGAGGAGTTACCGGAGCGTTTTTCTTATCCGGCCGGTAAAAAACAAAATAAATGTATGAAAAGGAGAAATGTTACCGGAGCGTCAGCGGCGCCAAACAGAAATAGATTGAGGGAACAGACGTTGAAAACAGAATCACGACGGAGATCAGCGGTAATCGGCTTTGACACCAACTTAAAGAGACAGGTCGCTGCTGCCCGCCGCGCGCGCTGCTGCTGTCTGCCCGCGGCGCCTGGCAGGAGCGCACGAGCCCTGGGAACGCCTTCCACAGCGCAGGTGTGAGAGCGCGTGGAGGGGCCAAAAGTTGAACGCACAGCTGGACAGGTGTGCGGTAATTCTAACCTCCGGGGTCAAAGCAGGTTACCGCGAGTCTTTCATTCATTATTTAAGTTCTTTTAATGTGTTTTTTAAGATTTTATTGATCTGCAGCAGCTCCAGATACAACATAATCGATAAGAAAATACACATTAGAATAAGACATTTAGAAGATATAATTAAATAAAGAGTTATATGTCACTATATATAAGGAACAACACACATTAACAAGTACAAAAGATATAAAATAAATATGAACAACAGGGGCGGATATAGAGAAATATAAATATCTGCTGATTTATTCAGGAAAAAAAAATCACATTATCAATATTTGCTATTTTGCCCATCTCTCTTAAACTCTTAAATAGAAATATCTAATGATTTAATTCCAAATCTTTCCAATACATTTCTTTTTTTTTGTTGAATTTAAATCTATCATCTGTAACATTTCTGCATTAAACAGTGTATAAACACTAAAGTTATGTTCAGCACTAACATTACAACCACTGAGCTCCCTGACTTGTCCCAGACCAACAGACTGGGATACACTGTGTGTTCTGACCCGTTTCCATCAGAGCCAGCATTAACTGTTGCAGCAGTTTGAGCTACAGTAACCTTTCTAACCTCTGACCTCTGACCTCCTGTCCAAACTGGACACAGAGTGAGTGTGAAAGCTGCAGCTTCTGGTGGTGTGATTAAAACATTTAGTGCGAGTTAACACAACGTAGAAGATCAATAAAAACACACAGAGTCTGCACAGGAGGGACGATTACAGCAACCAGTTACACCTTAATCATACATCTGGACATGGGAGTGTCACATTAACTGCCTCAACCACAGAAACTGATTTATGTTTAGCCTAATTTACCAGAAAGTACAATTATATATATGTGTGTGTATGTGTATATTTCAGATTGTGGCTCATAAGGCTGCATCCTTGTCTTTGTGTTTTGCTTTTAATCTTAAATATAACGTTAACATATAAATATCATTTTTCTTTCAACGCTTTTTAAATGATGGTGTCATTATAGAAGTGCTTTTGAGTCTCACTCTCTTATACACCCACACACACACACACAAACACATACACACACACACATTTTAAAAGTGGACAAAAGCAGAAGTTTCTATTTTTATACATTTGTGTTACGCTTCAGAAGATGGGTGTTTCTTTTGAAACTGTCATTCAGCCTGAAAACACAAACAGATGTTGTAGTGCTTTAGTAGACTATGTGTGTGTGTGTGTGT